TTCTAAGAGTCTTTGTCATCAGGTCTTGCCTTCTTCTGTTTTTGCTATGTCATCCCTGGGGACATAAAACCTCTATAATAAATCATAATGACAAAATATAAATTAATTTAGCATGCATTTGCACGCAGTAATCTGCTTCCTCTAAGACTCTTGGTATTTCTTGAACTGACTTACAGTTCATTCAGTCAGCTGTCAATTTTTTTTAACAGTGTTTTTTCCAAAAGTATTTTGGTTTTGTGTCTCACACATTTTCTTTGGACAAAAACTTTCCTATACATGTTAGTATTTCAGATCAAATTGATTTTGTTATCAGTAAGAATGGAGTTTGGTTACAGACAGAAGGTTTCCTTTCCCTTACAGGGTTGGACCTCACCTTCCTATTGGTAAGGCTTAAAATAGTTATACAAGAGTTCAGTGGCTTGTGAAACAGCTATATTTTACTTTGTGTTTTAAATAGGAACTACACTTAAGTCCCAAGGAAGTAGTATGCAACCCTCTTCAAATTGCTCTAGAACAGATTTTCTCTAATAAATGTGATTTACACACATGTATATAGATAAGTGAAATACAAGTATTTCGTTTGAATGAGCTGGGACATTTTGATGACTTGCAGAACTCATGTCATCCAGAATTCATATTCATAAAATATATGTTACATATGTTTTAGCTTAAGGCTTGCTAGGGAACTGCTCAGAAGTATGGGGGAAAACATGAAGAAGAAAGTCTTGACCTCTCTGGACTCTGTTATTACTAGTTGCTTAACCTTCCTCCCCTTTTGCAGTTCAGAAGATACAGCCCTTGTGTTGCTTATTTTTTGTGAACTTTGATATGGCTACAGCTAGATGTCCACAGGAAACACACAAAAAAGTTAAGATAAAGAAGACAAAACTACACAGTATTCCTTCCCACCAATTAGAAAGGGAGAATAACTGAGATTAGACATCTAGGCGTTTAACATTTTGTGAGATAAATACCAGACTGGGACTCTGGCACTATCAGTGTCTGGAAAATGAAAACCACTTGGGGGTAGGAATCCAGAAAGGATATATGGATACTCTGGCCTCTATGGTATGTTCTGGCACAGTGCTGTAAAGACAGTTTTCACCATAAAATGGCAAATAATGGACCATGGCAGGAGGAGAAGGGTGTCTAATGCTTGTGGTGCGTGCCTAAGACTACTGGGAAGGGATGAACCTCATCTTGCTGGCAATGGTCTCCAACAACGTGGTTACTCTCAGTACCAGGTGCAGATGAGATGGTTGCCAATGGCTGTGGCAGTAGTGTGTGGGGGATCTCCAGTCCAAAGTGAGTTTAATTTTGCGTGTTGCTTAGAGCAGCAGTACTGCAGCTGTGTTCAGGCAGTCATAGAAAGGTTAGTCTGTCAGGGAAGAGAGACAGACGCCTCACATGAGATACTGATTGTGGCACAGATGAGTGAGAGATACCGTGAACAGTAACAGGGATTTGAAAGGCAAATGCTGAGAGCTGTTGGGATAGTTTTGGTACCTGAAACCATTGTCCAGAGAAGGTCAACAAAGCTGGTGGAGGGTCTGGAGCACAAATCTTATGAGGAGCAGCTGAGGAAGCTGGGGTTGTTTAGCCTGGGAAAGAAAAGGCTCAGGGATGACTTTACTGCTCTCTACAACTGCATCAAAGAAGGCTGTAGCCAGGTGGGGGGTTCACCTCTCCTCACAGGCAGCTAGCAACAGGACAAGAGGACACAGTGTTAATATGCACCAGGGTAGGTTTAGGTTGGACATTAGGAAGAATTTCTTCACAGAAGGGGTGATTACATATTGGAATGGGCTTCTCAGGGAGGTGGTGGAGTCACCGTCCCTGAAGGTGTTTAAGGGAAGACTGGATGTGGCACTTAGTGGCATGGTCTAGTTGATAGTGTGGTGTTTAGTCATAGGTTGGACTTGATCTCAGAGGTCTTTTCTAACCTAATTGATTCTGCGATTGTGTGTATACCTGAGGGTATGGCAATATCCAAAGGTCCTGCAGCCCAGAGTCCCTGAAGTGTGCTAAAGTCACTAAGTGTCATGGAGTTACCTGGTATCATCTCTTTCCTACTCTTTACTTTTCCTATTTTTGCTCTGTCTCCTGAGAGTCTGGTTTAGTCCAGCAAAAGAACTTCATCCTTTTCTTTCCTGAGTGAGAGCCTGGAGTAAAAGAGTAAAGGAGAAACAAGTTTTTCAGTAGCATAATGCTTTGCCAGGTCATGGAGTGGCTGCTAAAGCCGTGTTGTCTGGCTTTACTTTCGAAACAGCTCAGTCTTCCACAGGAGTCAGAGACAAAGGCTGCATTTTCTGTTACTTTGTCCAATTTTTTTTCCTCCAGCTCTGTTTGTGCTCCCATAAGGGAGACGGGATCAGAGTTCAGAAGTAGAGTCATTATTTTTTCCTCATAGTGATATTTCTAAAGATGTTCATAACGTTTTAAATACTGTGCAAGAAGTTTCTCAAACAGGGTTTCACAGCCTTCCCCTGCATACAACTTAGGGATACATGAAAATGTAGTCACTTAGAGGAAGAAGCTTTGTATTTAAGTGTTGTGTATTCTTTTTCACCCTAGGCAGATCCAGTCAGTGGATGTCAGTTCCTGAATCTGGGAAAAAAAAAAATTCTTTTGATTAGATGGATATAATTAATTTCAAAAGGAAATAATAAATTTGTAAGCCAAAGTCTGTAGAACAGATCAGCAGAAAATAACACTCCTCTTTGAAGAACAAGAGATAGTGCTCAGCCATGCCCTGGGGTCTTGAAGACCACTAGAAAATCTGAACTGAGATTCTCACCTCTCTGAAGTTAACTGGACTGATTTTCAGTGACCAAAGTAAAGCCAGGGTTTTACACCAAAGTTCAAGATCTTAGGAGAAAACCTAAGGGGAAATAAATCAAAATTAATAAAAATTAAAAAGACCAAAGGCATACAGTTAATTTTGTGTGTATTGGGAATGCTGTGTGGGTTTCCTAATGAGACTAAAACTGAGCAGAATCATAAGTATTTGTTGGATTTAAGCCTAATGGTAGAGCTGGTGTTTCGGATAACCATAAAAAACATAGCATAAGGAAGGCATTGGATTAAAATAGTAGGGTCGCATATGACTAATAACTTATTTGACCTTTTCAGGGTTTAAATACAGAACTCAAATCAAATAAAATGGTTGGTTAATAATTAGAGATGCCCAAATGTGGCAAAGTCAATTAGATTATTTTTATTTATACATTTGAAGGAGCGAGAGGTTGAAGAACTAGTTACAAAACTGACTTGGTCTTCTAGGGGAAACCCATGCTAAACCTGATCTGTCTTCAATAACTGAGAATGTTTTTTGTTTCCTACCCTCTCGAGATTTGGTTAATATTAATGCAAGATGTGAAAGGAAATTCTGTGCTTCACATTTTAGTAGCTTTTAGCCTTGCAAGAGAAGGGATAGAAAATGAGATACAGAAGATTTTGTTTGAAAACTTACTGCAAAACTTAAGGCTTTTACAGTCCTTCAAACGCTTGTGCACTTGCTTTATGCACATTGATATAATATTGTGAAGCTCATTTTCAAGATAGAGGGTTAAAATTGCACTGGTGTAAATTCCATGATTTCAAGTTCAAGAGAATGTGTCTTTTGTGCAGTTAGATAATAAATTATGGTTAGCTACACAGCATTCCTCAGTCATTACAGAAATCCTCAATCAATACAAAAGTGAGTTTGTAATTAAAACCACGATGCCTCTGAAGTTAGCTATTATAGATAAGGACATTTTATGACAGAAAAACCCTAATTTTTTCATTGATTTGCAAAGCTCCACTCTGTGGGTGTCCGTATGCCACTGATGGGAGTTAAAGGCAGCAGACAGCACACGGACCAGCTGGCCCGCAGGAGCTGCTGTTCCAGCCCCGGGGTAAGCCCTTTACCGGTTAAGCAGGTAGGAGCACATTGCAGCCAAAACCACCCTCAGCAAAGCATTGCTGCTGCTGGGCCCCGAGGAGATCAGGCAGTCAAAGTGAGACTTGCAAGTCTGTCATGAGGGGTCCTTGGGGGTTATGGCCTTTCACTTGTGAAATCACAGCAATGTTAATCAAGCAGAACAACTGTGTTTTAAAATCGTTTCCCAGTTATTTGGACATCTGATCCTAACCCATTGTTCAAAATAATACATAAAGGATGGGGATTTTAGTGGAAAAGTATCCTAGCACATCTGTCTGATAACTAAGAACTGACGAACATAGCAGCTGGTACATAGGGCACTAAATCTGGATCATTCAGCCATCAAACTGGGAGCGCCTAGTACTCACTGGACTGGGTGCACCAGGCTTTTCCACCCTGGCTGCAGGGCTCTGCTGGACAAGGGAAGAAGGCATGTGGTCCAGGCAGCAGGGCGGGTATGGCTGTGGAGCCTGCCCTTCCTGAGAGGCACCCCAGGGGACCCGTGGGGATACACTGGTCGTTACACCGGTGGGTTCACGAGTGAGCAAACCGGCAGGTACGCTGCCAGGTACACGGGCAGACACACGGTGGGTAAAGGGGCAGGGACATGGGTGAGCAAACTGGCAGGTACACAGCTGGCTACGTCAGGACCATTTCCAGCGATGTCGGGCTATCTATGACGCTCTGCGGCTGCCGCTACCCCCAGAACCCAGACAGGTCCGGTTTCACCTCAAAGTGCCCGTCGTTGCCCTGACGAACACCCTGCGGCCCCCGCTGTCCGGGCAGCGCCATCCGCCCCCTCCACAGCACCCGCCGGCGCCAGGACGGTCCTGACCCCCGGCCGTGCCTGCGGGAGGCTGCGGGGCGAGGGCGCGGGTGCCGCCGGCGGGCCCGGCCCGGTTGCCGCGGTGATGACGGGCAGCCGCCCCTGCCCGTGCCCCCGCCCCGCAAACATGGCAGCGGCGGCGGCGGCTCCGGCGGGCAGCGGCGGCAGGTGAGGAACGGCGCGGCGGGGAGGGGAGGCGGGGCCCCGGCCCAGCCCGGCCCGGCCCGGCCCTGCCCTGCCCTGCCCTGCCCCGCCCCGCCCGCCGTGGACGAACCGTCCGTGCTGCCGGCTCCATCCGCAGGCCGGCGGTGAGGGGCGGGCTCCCGGCGCCGCCAGCAGCTCCTCCCTCCTCCCGGCCCGGGAGCCCCCGGCGGGGTGACAGCCCTGCCGAGCGCAGCCGCCCCGGCCGGGGCTGCGGAGGCAACGCCGCTCCCCGTCGGCCCGCTCGCTGCCGGGACCAGCGGGGCGGGATCCGCCGCCCCCGCGCCCGCCATGTGGAAGCTCAACAAGAGCAGCAAAGTTCTGCTGGACGACTCGCCCGAGGAGGAGGAGACTCATCCCCGCGGGCCGCCGCCCGCCGCCGCCGCCGCCTTCGCGGCCCCCCAGGTAGGAGCGCGGAGCCCGGCGCGGAGGGTCGTGAGGCTCGGCCCCGCTCTCGCTGCCCTCCTCTCCGGCGGCATGAGTAATCACTTTTCCCACTTTGGATGTGCCGGCAGCCTGGCCCTGGTCGGAGCTGGCGGTGTTTGCGCGGATCGTGCGACTGTCACCCGATTTTTGGGGGTGCTGACTGGCTTGTCCACCTCTGTTTCCTTCCCGCAGCCGGCCTCTGGCATTGCTGGGACTTGCTGTCCTTCATTCCAGTGGCTTCATACCACACGGTACTTTCTCTCCCGGCCCTAGCCAGGGGCATTGCAACCCATCTGTACAGCACAATACATTAAACAGGGATGTTTAAGAACTTACCTTCATTGACTCATTTGTGTAGAGCACTGGTGTTTTGGCACGACTGCTTTTTTTTTTTTAAATGGTTTCAATAATAGTAGTTGGCTATCTTTAAACATCCTATGTTGTTTGAATGCCTTCATTGTTAAATAATGAGTTAAATACCAAGTGACCTTCTCAAAGTATTGGTTGCCAAACAAATACAACCTGAAAGGAAGGGTATCCACTGAGTATCAGGCAAAACAAGTAAAAAAACGTTTGTTGACTTGCTTTCAAAAACTTACAGCAATTAGACATCTTGCCAGCTCAGAAGCCTGTTACGCTGCCTGATGCAGCTTTGTTGCTGAACTGATCTTCTGTTGCCACAGAGTATCTTTAGATGTTGTATGAGAGGTTGCAGGACATCTGCATATCTGAAGTAAGCAGTTGCCCGGGGTTGCAAACCAGTGAGGTTTCTATTCAAAGGAGGGTACAAAAGCCCACTGAACTTCCCACCCCATGTTTGTCTTGCCTAGCTTGCTGGAAGAGCTGGAGTGTGTCTGGATAACCTACTCTCTCCTTGAGTTCCTGGTTGACAAGTGCTATGGGTTGTCAACAAGTGTGGCTACTGCTGAAGAGCAGCCTCTCCCAGTAACAGCAGTTATCCTCTCCATCTTCCAGTAGACAAAATCACCGTTTTAGCCTTGCCTTGCCCCTTCCCCTGCACTATAAACAGAAGAGCCCTAGCCCTCGCTATTAGTTTGACAGCAGCTGTGAAGATTCATATGGATGAATAGGATCCTGTGGGAGAAGAACACATGCATTTTGGAGACCCCCTTCAGGGGAGGAAGGGGGATTGAGGGGTTGGAGGCAATCTGAAGTATCTCCCACAAACTCTCCTGCAACACTTAACCTCTCTCTCCTACAGATCCTATATGCAGGTGCTTGGAAACTTCCACTGTTTTTCCTTAATCTGTTGGCTTGTGCTGTTGTAGCCCTCCTAGACTTGCTTAGCTCCTGAAAATCCTCCTCAAACACCAAAGGTCACTGAAAGCTTCCAGTAAATCCAACTGACTCTTCACTACTTCTCTTCTCTACCACAAATGCTCCAAGCCCCCTTTTAGACTCCTGACTGTAGCCTCCCAGTCAGAAGATGATTCTTCAGACTTCTACCCAGAGAATTCTCCCAATCCTCTACTTAACAACAGAGGCTGGAGTTTGCTCTTTTTTTTTTTTTTTTTTTTTTTTTCCCTGTCCAGTCCAATTGTCTTTTCCTATCCTGGGCCTCTGTTCCTTTAGTAGCAATCTCAGGCTATAATGGTGATGACGATTTCTGGTGCAAATGGTTTGAATTTTCATCAATTTTAAGAAAAATCCTTTTCAACTCCCAATGGCACTGGAATAAAAGAAGCTGATTTTGGTATTGGAGGTGGAAGATGAAACATAAATTATTCTAAGTCACTAAATGAAATATTCTTGAAGATTAAGGATTCAGTAAGGTTAGTACCACTGTAGTGTAGCTTGGCACAGAGAATGGAGTGAAGACCATAAGCTATTAGTTTTTTTGCCAGTTAAAATCAAAATCTCTTGAAAGAAATGCAGCACCCCTCCCAAAATATTTAAATGTATCTATTTTAGAGTTTATGTGTACTTTAAGGAAGGCTAGATTGTATGGAAAACTATTACCACTTGATTAACATTGTAATTCTTATGATCAAGGCAGCTTCTAGGTCAGCCATAGGTACAGTGTGTCTAAAACAGCTTAGACACGTGTCAGGGGGAAAGTGTGCGGTAACCAAGTGCGCTTGTTCAGCTTGTTGTAGCTGGTCTGGTACAAGTGCCCTGCTTTTAGTGTTTGACATTTTGGATGTTTCATCAGAACCTGTCTTTTCTCCCAGTAATATGATTTTGAGGCACCGAAATCCGGTAATGTGGCGGGGGATTTGGTAGTAGTCTGCACTTGGCCCCTGCTGCGTCCTGACACGCAGCACCCAGCTCCCTGACTTTGGAGGACAGTAGTCCCATCGGATCTTGGAGGAATTATTGGGACAGTTCTTGTGGTACCCTAGCTGTGCATGAGAATGTCCCAGTCTTCCTCAGCTCTGTTGTTGCGGTACAGCCTGCTGTGAATGAAAGATTACCTCATCAAGAAGAATAGAATCCAGGACTTCACTAAATTTTTTTCTTTAGGGCCAAAATCCAGATAATTAGCTTGAGTGCTTTTGAGTAAATTAAGAAGCCCAGCATTAGATTTCATGCGACAGAAAGTTGACTGTTAGATTTCATGTCCTCCAGATTCTTTTCTGATAAATCATAAAAGAGAAGATGAACCGGAGTCATCCTATTTTGACTATGATTTATGACATCTTGTTTTTCCCAGCAACTGTCTTTTGTCTTTATTTTCAGTTTTAATAAGCAAGTGGCAAGAAAATCCTTAAGCTTCTACCATTCATGCTATACCTCAAAGACAAGAAATTGATAGTGACATCTATGTCATTAAAGCAGACCAGGTTGCAAGTATTCCAGTGTAATGAAATGTTGGTGCTGTATGTTGTTTCTTTAGAGCGGAGAAAGAGTGAAGGGCTTCTCACTGTGCAACCTAATAATTAGGACATTGCATTAGCAGACAGCACCAAAATTTAGGCTACTGTAAGTTAAAAATAAATTTAAAAAAACCTTAACACAAAAAAACCCTTTGTTACTCTAGAGCAATTTTAATCATCCTATTTAGATATGGAAGCCTGATCTGGGCTTACTCAAGCAGACACTTGAATTTGTAGAAGTTCATAGTTCTTAAATAGAAAAGCTTAGTTTGATCTGTAAAGAGAAATTTTGACAGTTCTGGTTTTGTGTTATATGGAGTGGTTTGATTTTGTTCCAGGGGAGAACAAAAACAAATTTTAGAACATGAAAATTGCAAGGGAGGGAACTGTCAGCCTCTGGCCACTTTTTAGCAAAAGTTTCTGCATACATTCAAGTACTTTGAATTGTTAAGACTTATTTAAAATAGTAGGGTGTTTCCTGAGATAAGAAAGACGAGTAAAGTTTGAAACAGTACTTGTGTAAATAAATGTGTGGATTATTGTTTGTTGTTTTTTTTTTTTTCAAACCAGACAGTTTTAGACTGAATCTTAGAAGTTAATTTTAATTTATGCTTTGAAGCATAAGTATTTTTAATTTATGTAATGAAGGTGCTTTGTTCACTTAGGTTATAATTAACGCATGAAGGCAACTTAACATGCATAAATAGTAGACACATATAAAATGAAATTAATGTGCTTTTTGTGTGTCTTTCTGAAAATATGCTAGAAATGTACATTGTGGTGCCAAACTTGCGTCCAGTTTGTAATATAGTCATTATGTTTCGAACTGTAGTTGTATTTTTGGAAAGGAAAAAATGCTGGGTTTTGACTTCTGGAAGGCACTGTTGTGGCAGTTGTTCTAAGTTCTCCTTGATTCAGTCCTGCTGTCATCTAATCAGTGCTCAGAGATGTCAATGCTCTGTCAATATCACATGTAACTCTGACGTAAAATGGCACTCAAGTTCAAAACACATCTATATATTAGGGCAGTGGATGGGTATCAGGCTGGTCTATATTATCTAATGCAATTCTATCTTTCATGTAAAAATATATCAGGACCTTAGCCTTGATCTGTTCTCTCTGATTGTATTTTTTGTTATGTTCAAAGAGAATATGTGCAAAAACATGTTTTATGCTGAATTTTGTTTAGACTTGCTCAGGTTGTTTGAAAGTTGGCTGTACAGAAATTTAGTTATATATTTTAATGAAGATGTTAAAGTCTTTGGTACAATTTTAATATGGGCTTTCATCTTGGAATGAGCTGAACTCAGACAGGCCCTGCAGGAATGGGTGGGAGCTGAGGAGCATTTCTTATGTTCCACTAATATGTAGAATAAGGGTACTTTTTAATTAAAAAAAAAATAAAGCAATCAGTGTTAATCCAGCTAATGTGCTTCCTTCACTTTCTAGCCATTTCAGGCTAGAAAGTATCTCAGGCTTTGCCTGCAGTACTCTAATAATTCTGCCATACCTTCTCCTCTCTGCTAGTCTGTTTTTTCTTTTCATTGGAGTTGTTCTTGTGACATTTCAGTGATATTTTTCCTGGCTAAAATCCGTCACCTGTATTCTGTCATCATTCTCGAATGTTAGATTGTAGGACTGTCAGCAAAGACTTTCCTCAGTGTTTCCTTGGCTTGCCTTTCTTGCTTTTCCTCCTTCTTGTCACACGCTGTCTTTCAGCAGCTTCTGGAGTGGGTCCTGTTTCCTTACAATCTTCCTGGACTCTGTAGAGCTGACAGTGCCTTTTGGGGCTTTAGGCTTTCTTCTTTTTTTGAATCCTTTTCTTTTCTAAGGTACTTCAATTTTTTATTTATACTGCAATTTTTTACAGTTGAGTGGGATCACATATGCTTCTCATCTCTTATCCCCTCTCTGTTGGCTTATTCTGACTCTTTAAAGTTCACAAAACACATATTGCCTGGTTGATGTCCTACTAGAGATGCCATCAGCATGTATCTTTTTCTTTCAGTCAAGCCTATAAGGTGAAGGTTGTCGTGATTTTTATTTATTGTGCAAAAGAGAATGTGTGTCCTGGACTTTGCTGTTGTTCTCTATGAAGTCATCATCAGGTCTGCTTTTGTAGTATTTTTTAGAATTATTATT